TCTCTCTCTCTCTCTGTCTCTCTCTCTTCCCACATGAACACTGCCTGATGACAGTAAGAATCCTCAGGAGGCAAGGTTTAGTTTACAATGAGGATTGACGGCCATTGGTATCAAGAACAGATTTCTTCATAATATTACCATGACCTAGAATGTCTCTTATCTAACAGTCCTTTTGCTATTTCTGAGCAGAACCGAAAAAGTCAAATTGATTTTATCTGAACAGGAAATGCAGATACAAAACCAGATCCTAGACTGGAAAAACTGGGAAGGCAAACAAAAAAATTCTGGGTTAGGAGCATAGCTCAGTAGGAGAACATTTGTCTAGAGTGCATGAGGCCCTGGATTCCACCACCAATACTGACACACAGACACACAGACACATAGACACAAGGGTGCTCACATGTTTCCTTTTAAACCTCCTTATCCCTACTTGGGAAGTTACAGGAGAAGCCATGAAAACAAAGAACACTTATGAAGCCAAGAACGGCCTCAGTCAAGGACAATGAGCTAGAAGCCCTGGTCCTAAGGCCCTGATTCCATGAGGAGGTGTGCTGGTGTCTCCACCAAGTGGCCAGGAGGCATGATGGAGCCATGTAAAGGGATGAAATCCTAATCAGGCTCCTTGCACTCAGGGCCCGTGTGCCTAGTGATCTGCACAACCAAGTTTACATAACAGGCCTTTGTGTGCCCACATAAAAAAAGTGAGAAGCAGTGGGGGCAGACGCACTCAGGGCTTAAAGGGGAGTCTTTCTAGGGGGCAGTGCGTGGGGAGTGGTAAGGTGGAGAAGCAGCTGACCCTTCCTACTCATCCACAGCAAAGACAGAAGCAGCAATAAAGCAAACCCTTTTACTTGTTTGCATCATAAATTCTGGTTTTATTTACAATATACTTAGGGGATAAAAAAGAAATGGGTAGTACTAATTGTTTTTTGCTTATTAGACTCAGGGTAGCTTGGAAGGGGGAACAAAGGAGTAAGGGAAACCTCCCTGTGTCTCTTTAAGTCTTTGAATTTTTGTAATTTGAGTCCAGGCAGTGGTGGCCCACACCTTTAATCCCAGCACTTGGGAGGCAGAGGCAGGCAGATTTCTGAGTTCGAGGCCAGCCTGGTCTACATTGTGAGTTCCAGGACAACCAGGGCTACACAGAGAAACCCTGTCTCGAAAAACCAAAAAAAAATTTTTGTAATTTGAACCATATGATTAGATCATCTACTTAAAAAGAGAAAAGAAGCTAGGAAGGGGTGGCAAGATGGCTCAGTGAATAAAGGGGCTTGCAGCCCAGCCTGGCAACCTGAGTTCCATCCAAAGGACACAGATTGTGGAAGGAAAGAGAAGGGACTCATGCAGCTTATATATACTGTGACCTCCACAAGCCTGTTGCTGCACACGTGCATGCACATGTGTTTATGTACACACACGTAATAATAATAGCAATTATAATAATAAATTTTTAAATATAGTTAAAAAAAACAAGCCAAGAAAATGTAACGCTTTTAAACATGTCTACAGGTTTTTCAACACCCTTCACAAGTAGGTAAGAGGTCACTAGTTCCATTTCCGAGATGAAGAGGCCTGAGGCTACCAGAAAGAACTTCAACAGGAAAGACAGAAAGACTCTCCACGCCTTCAGACTCTCCAATCAGAAAGATAAACAGCAATCAGATTCATGTGCTACGTCCAGTCCTCAGACCTAAAACACATCCTGGAGCTACCTCAAATGACCATTTAAAAAGGCTTATGCACCTGCACAGCAGCTTGTGAGATCTGAGTGGGCTATTTTTTAAAAACATTTATTGTGTCTCTACATGTGATGTGTGTCTATACATGACGTGTATCACACGTGCATGCGCACACCATGGTGCACACATGCCATGGCACATATGCGGAGGTCAGGGGTCAACTTTCAGGAGTCTGTTCTCACCTTAGACCCTGGGTTCAGGCAGCCAGGGCTTTTACTTGCTGAGTCATCTGACCAGCTCGAAAGGGCCTATCTCAATGTTCCTATTAGCTGATAAACACCCTGAAATATTCTGGTGTCAGCTCTTAGTGAAAATGTTTATAAGCTTCCTAAGTATAAAAGCTGGTTGTAGTGACAGATGTCTGAAGCTCCAGCATTTGTGAAGTAGAGGCAAAAGGATCACAAGTTCAAGGGTATCCTTGGCTATATAGTGAGTTTGAGGCCAGCCTACACTACATTAAGCTCTGTCTTTGAGAGAGAGAGAGAGAGAGACAGAGAGAGAGAGAGAGAGAGAGAGAGAGAGAATAACAAACCAAATCAGCCCAAGTGCATACTCAGCCCTCAGTGGGTGCAATAGTTCATTGGGTTCATCAGCCTTCAGAACCAGAACTTTGGAGCAAACTTTCCAGGCACAGAGGGATTCAGAAAATAAGCACTGTGCCCAGAAGCCAGCCAAATCCAGAGTTCAAATCCTGATTTTGCCCCTGACTTACAGGAGACCTCAGGTGAACCAGTTACCTCCCTTTCCTTGGCTTCGGCTTCCTCTCTATAAATATTAACCACTAAGCAAGCATGTAATGAACATATGTGTCTGGCGCTGGCCAAAAGGATCTGTGTCTTTAAAGGGCTTATCTTCAACAGGAAGAGACAAACAATCCAGAGCATGTCAAGTCCAGGTAAGTGCTATAAGCACATAGACAACAGGGAAGAAAGACCTGGGTGGAGGAGGGGTCAGGGAGGCCTCTGGGAAAGCAGTATTCACACTAGAAACTGAATAGTAAAATTATCAGTCACACAAGAATCTAAGGGACACAGTTGCAAAGACCATCCAGTCTTGGATCTAAGGGACAGAGTATGACAAGGGGAAACAGACACAGAGGCCATCCAATCCTGGAATATTTAAGAAGGGGACTTATCAAGGTTAGAAAATAGGGTTGGAGAGACTGACCAGCCCATCTCTTCAAGCAGAATATAGCACAATGGTTGTAACGGGAAGTAACTATAGAAAAAAAAAGAACTTGATTGAATCTGTTATTTTCAGCTTTCCACTATAGCAGAACTCTCTAAACAAACAAGTAAGACTGAAACACAGAAGTGAATAACATGGTTCTGCTCTGACAACTGGAACACAGAATGCAGTAAGATGGTTTTGCTCTGACTAGTGGGAAAGCAGAGCCTCTGTCTTCTTGGCCTTCCCAACTCACTCCTGGGAACTTCCAACCTCAGCAGAGCTAGAACAGCAGCTGGTCTGTCTCTAAGGTTCCTCAAATCCTTACAAAGCCCAGATCAGGTGGGAGACAGGCTTCCTGGGAGAGTTTATGCAAAGAGCCCTAAATTCAACCCTCAGCACCACAAAAAGAATAATTATCTGGAACAATGGCCTCCAGTCCAGAGAATATACCATTAAACAGCTGACTCACAATAGCTTATAGAAAGGACAAGCGACACAGCTTTGAGGTATTACCAGACACAGCTCTGCTACTTCCAGGCCCTCGAGGCTGCCTCCTAAGAGGAAAAGCTGGAGTGACCATAAGGGAAAGAAATAACAAGCTACACGGTACTGTGTTGCATAACCTAAACTCAAGTGCACAGTCCACCCAGGGCTGCACTAGGTGACAGGTTATCTCCACAGGTAAACAGGAATATTGCCCTCCCTGATCAGTCAGCACAGGGATCCACATGTGCTGGGCACAGGCCAACAGCATTCCAGAAGGACTCATCCTCCTTGTGCTTCTGTTTTCACACTGCACTTTGAATGTTGACTACTGGCATTATCAGAGGGCACCAACTTGAGCATGGACATACTCCACCCATGACAGCCCTTCCCTGGCCACCTGCTCCAAAGGGATGGTCCAGAAAACTAAACCTGCCTGCCTGCACTTGGCTCTTCTCCACCTCCTGAAAACCAAAATACACTGAAACCCAAAAGGCCCGTTTAAAACCTTGCAAGCAAATCTCTAGAGGCACAGTGGTCATAAAAATGATTGTTGACTTGCTTTTTTTCCTACACGATGGGACAGGAGAGAGAGGCAACACCCAGAAATTATCCCAACTTTATAGAAACAAAGAGCTAAGTATCCCAGCCAAGGGCAACAGAGAACAGGCCTCCAGCCACCCAAATGAGCAGACAGCCACAGCAGCAACAGGGTCAAGAGCCTTCCATCCCCAGCCTTCACTTCCTGAAAACACAGGGCAGCCCCCACCCAGTTCTCTTTAAAGCTGTCTTGAAGATCCTTGTGAACCTGAAACCATGAAAACAGCAAAGGATTTCTGTAGGGTGCAAGTCAGGAAAATTACTGAGGGCCTCTGTGCATAAGAACAATGCTGCGTCCTGTCCAGGATGCTACCGTTTTAGAGAGGACAGACACCTAGGTTAACAAACTTGATTTCATTCATCACAAATATTATTTATCAAATCATTGCCAGGACATTGTGGCAACCACAATGTCCTGTTTCTGCTGGAGTCACTGCCAAAGTTTGGTTCTCTCGCCCACCTTCCGGTATCTGTGATGAAGTTTTCGGTTTCTATCAACCCTTAGTCGGGGAGGCCCCCCCACCCCCACCCCGCGATGGCCCTGGTGGAGTCGAGTTCCACCACCAGGTCCATAAAAGAGACTGCGGGGAGGCGTGGCCAGGGAGGAAATTCTGACAAAAACTTTTGGACCTCCGGTCCTAGCAGCCACTACTTCCTGGTCCCTCCCGGTCACGGGGATGTCGTTATTTGGCTGAGTGCTCCCCAGAGGGCCGCGCAGGGAAGGGTCTGTCCCGGCATGCGTGGCGCTCACAGAACGGCCCGCAGGTTGCCTTCCAGGGCAAGTTGTTCCGAAGGAGTCCCCAGGCTGTGAGACGGGGGGGGGGGCGGGCTTCCTCCTCCACGCTCTGGCCGCCCACTGTCACCATTCCCAGAGCCCAAGGCGGTGCTTTCGGACCTGAACCCAGCGCGGACATCAAGGCCCAAGCCCGTTCTGAAAGAAGGGAAAGCTGAAGGACTGGCCACGAACCGCCCGCCGGGAGCAAAGCAGCGGGCCGCGCCGCCTCCCACCTTGACCCGCTTGCCCTGGATCTCCAGCGTCTTCATGGTGAAGTCGACACCGATGGTGCTGCCCTGACGCGCGGAGAAGGCACCGGTCTTGAAGCGCTGTACCACGCACGTCTTGCCCACGCTCGCGTCGCCCACTAACACCAGTTTGAACAGGAAATCGTAGTGTTCGTCCTGATCTCCTGGACCAGGGCCCGCCATGGCTCCGCGGGAGTCCTGGGACGCCAGGGCCCGGCTTGGGCTAACGACAGCCCCGGGCCGAGGTCCGTGTGCCCTAGCCGGCCCACCGCCGGGCTACGTGGAGCGGCCGCAGCACCTGAACGAGCTGCGCGGCGGACCGATCGACGGCCCCGCCCCGCTCGGGAGCCCGCGGACTCGGCTCCGCCAGGGAGCGCACCGCCCGGCCCTCCGCAGAGCTCTCTGCCAGCCGTCGGTGCCGCGCCGGCCCAGGGCTACCTCAGGCCCGCTCGTGCGCCGCCTTCAGGGCGGGGCGAGACTCCCTGATCCCCAGCACCGCCCACCTCCCGCCACTCCTCGTGTGGGTCCCGCCCCCAGGACCGCCCAGTCGCCCCCTCCCGTAACCAACGCCTCCTATCCTGTCAGTACAGTCCCGACTCCCCCCATCCCCCCAGCAGTCCCTCTAAGCTTCCCACCTCCCCGACCCTTCTCCGAGCACCGCCCGCACCCCACCACAGCCAAAGCCTCCGACCTTTCTCTAAACACCACCCTGATCCCTCCCTCAGCACCGTTCTTTCTCACTTCTCCGCACTTCACTCACCCAGACTTAAGCCGGGGTGGGGATCCGCTGTCAACACCGCCTAGATCCTCTATTTGGTCCTGACCCCCGCTCTTAACACCTCTTACCCCGCCCTAATCCTCCAGAGCCCTTCTTAGCTTGGACCTCGCCTTAGGCACTGCATCCTAGAAATCCACCCGCTCCTTTTCATAGCCCTGGAGCTAACTCCTCCCTAACGTCTCTCAGCTCAGCTCTCCACCCCTCTTCAACTCCGCTTCAGTCTGCTGCGCCCCTATAGCAGGCTTTGGCCCCTACTAGGTCAACAACTCATTATCATCGCCAGTTCACCATTCCCTAACCTCCTGTCCTCCTCAGCCAGGACCCACGTCCACTCCTCACTGGCCTGCTCCATCCCTCGCCTGGCAAGAGACCTCAAGGTAGTGCTGGGGCAGAGGACAGCTATGGCTGACAGTGAAGGGCTGATGAGGCAGAACCCCACCTCAATGTTCCCACTTCGGAGAATCGAAAGTTCTGGTGATACACAGCAATGGCAGCTTCCCTTAGGTGAAAAATGAAGACAAGAGGAAATGAAAATCCTTGAGGGCAGAATGGCCCAGAGTCCCATTAGGAAGATGATAGTGCAGTCAGGAGTCCAGCCAAACCTGGGCTGGCTAGGAATAGGAGTTCAGGTCTCAGCCAACCACCACTTGCACTTGAGAAGAGGCACAAGGAAAACCTGTGGGCCAGCCAGCTCCTAAGTTTGGCCTGGGAAACGAGAGGTTAAAGAAATGGGACCCACATGTCTGTAAGCAATTTGAACTAGATCAAAAAGGCCCTATTCCTAAAATGAGAGGAAGCTGAGATTATTCTAGCTGGCTATTGCAAGCCAAACACTGTTCTAGTGCCTTGAGATCCATCCATGAACAAAAGACAAAATCCAAAACTTCCCCAGTAGGGAAGGGAAGAGGAAACTTATGAAAACCAGAGAGCAATCCCACAGGCACCATCACCACAGACTGTGACCAGCCTCACTGGCCAAGTAGATGAAAGGCAAAGGCTGAACTTGGAGAAAACAGAAAAGTTTATTCTCAAACAGTAGGAACTCCATGGCTGTGAGAAATGTCCAGCAGTTACAGCCAGGACCCCCTAGAATGTTGTGCAAAGGAAGAGCCAGGCTTTGCAAACTCATGGAGAACTGCAGCCGCAAGAAACTACCTCCATCCCAAGATGTACCCTGAACCATATAGTGGTTTCCTCCCTGAAGCTGGCTGTGAGGTGGATAATACCCCTCAGCCAGGCCTAGCTCACAAGAAGGGAAAGAGGAGTCCAAAGGCCAGGAGAGGCTCGGGAAAGCCAGAAGAGTGGTTAGTCATGGTTCGCTGGCCTCTACTCTGCCTTGGGCTGGAATTGGTGTAGGAAGGAGGATATTTTGGTATGGCAAAAGCCAATCCACTACTTTCATTTATGGAGTACGAAGACATTTTAAAATTAGACTGTGTAACCAAGTATGGTAATAAACACCTGTAATCCAAACACTTGGGAGACTGAGGCAGGAGGTTTGCCTTGGGTTCAAGGACAGCTCGGTCTAAACAGTACCAAGCTGGTCAGGAATATACAGAAGACATTGTCTCAGAAAACAAAAACATTGTACCCATGGTGAGAGCTGCATAACTCAGCAAATGGATTAAAGCCATTAAGATGAGAGCTGAGGAGAAGGCTCAACAGATGGAATGCTCACTGTGAAGGCCTGAGGACCCAAGTTCAGACTTCCAGCAGTTAAGTAACGTGTCAGGTACAGAGATGCAGTCCTGTAACCATAGGCAGAACAGACACAGATGGATCCTGGAAGCACGTTGGCTAGCCAGCCTAGCCAAATGGCAAGCTCCAAGTTCAAATGAGGCCTTGTCTTAAAAAAGAAGATAAGTCAGAAAACAAGGATAGAGGACACTCAGAACAACTCTGGCCTCTGCATGTAGTGTAGGCACAGGCGCCTCCCACCACACACACACACACACACACACACACACACACACAAAGTGAACACTTCCAAAGAGCATATTCTATGCTGTGTAAATCACACCTTGACAAATCTGCACGTCCTTTCTTTTGGCAGTGTATATTTTAAAAACCCAGCCGTGTTTTTTTTTTTTTTTTAAATCTATTATGCTTGTTTGAGATAGGGCAGTTTAAAAATATGCATTCAATAAACTACTTTTCCTATAAAAAAATACTGTCTTATTTTGATAGCAAATTTTGAAATAATGCATATCTCAAATTTAAGCAAGCCAAAGATTTAACATTTTTTAAAAGATTCTGTTTTTTATTCATGTATACGTCTGGATGCAACATGTGTACAGGTGCCTGCAGAGACCAGAAGAGGGCGCTGGATACCATGGAGTTGGAATCAGGTTCCTGTGAACTGAGAACCAAACTCAGATCCTCTGGAAGAGTAGCAAGAGCTCTTAACCACTGAGCCATTAAGCCATATCTCAAGCCCTGTGCCAAACTTCCTCCTTTTTTTTTTTTTTTAAAGATTTATTTATTTAGCTGGGCAGTGGTAGTTTAATCCCTGCACTTGGGAAGCAGGAACGTCGAATCTGTAAGGTCAAGTCCAGCCTGGTCTACAGAGCGAGTTCCAGAACAGCCAGGGCTACACAGACTGTGTCTGGAGGAGGGAGGGAGAGAAAAAGAAATGTAGTTATTTAAAAGGGCAGATGAGATGGCTCACCCTTATAAGCTCCCAATAAAAACAGGAATGGAGAAAGCACTGCAAAGATGACCATATACCAAAACCATGATCCCCTGTGTCCTTAATATAGAATAGTTGCTGCAAAATGTTAGAGAAATAAATGCAAAATTAAAACGGATACCCTGGAACAGTTGAGATGTTGGTGATCTGGGCTGCAGCTGGCCAAGGTAAGCAGTAGCCCTTTGGGCAACTTTTGGCTCTCCCAGTGGCCACAGAAAGGACAGGCATCTGACTCTCCCTTCCCAAATACTCAAAAGCCATAAATACAGATCAAATTCATCCCTCTCCATGACACTTCTGTTGGTGGTCTTAACCTGCAGGATTTGTCTCAAAATATTCAAGCTATCTGCCTCCTGGCTCCACTCCTCCAACCTCCGGACCAATGCTGTGCAGGATCCCATTTCTAATGTTCTTCCCCAGAACAGGCCCAGCCTCAGCTTCTGGTCTACCCTACAGGCTCCCATGTCTGCCCTACAGGCTTCTTACCACGTCTGCCTACTCTAAGAGATCTCACTCTGGCATATCTGTTCACAGGACTTCAAGAGACATTTCAAACCCAGGAATGTCCAAACATTCAAGACACAACTCTCCAGCATCATCTGCTCCCCCACCCCACCCCCACATCACTCAAGTTTCTCAAACACGCCAGCCAGAAGGACTGTGGTACACCTTCCCCTCACCACTCACTTTACTGAAAAAGATACTCAGTTCAAACACTTCAGTGATTCCCAGGAGGCTTGGAGAGAAAAGCAGCCAATGCACAAACAAGCCTGAATTGAAGGGAAGAAGTGGAGCCAACCTGACAACAGTCCACCCTAGGAACCTATTGTTCCTGAGTCAAGACGCAGGGACATGGAGCAGGACTGCATGTCCCTGTCAGATCAATGTGCAGATGAGGAACCCCCACCTCTTCAGGCTCTTTAGCCTGAGGAAACCAGAAGAGTCTGCTGTCATTTATCCAACCTTTAGTCACAGGGTAGCCACAAGACAAAGTTTCCATCCACTCCTGGTATGTACAGTCAAGAGTGGAATTTGGAGTGAGGGGCTGTCTTAGGTACAGTTTCTGTTGCTCTGATGAAACATCATGACCTGAAACAAGTTGGGAGGAAAGGTTTATTTGGCTTATACTTAATGGTAGTCCATCACTGGGGGAAGTCCAGACAGGAACTCAAACAGGGAAGGAACCTGGAGACAGGAGCTGATGCAGAGGCCATGAAGGAGTGTTGCTTACTAGCTTGCTTCCCTTGGTTTGCTCAACCTGCTGTCTTTCTTCTTTTCTCTCTTTCTTCCTTTCTTTCTGATTTTTCAAGATAAGGGTTTCTCTGTGTAGGCCTGGCTGTCCTAGAACCCATCGTAGACCAGGCTGGACTCAAACTCAAAACCTGACTGCCTCTGCCTCCTGGATGCTGGAATTAAACATGTGTACCACCACCACCTGGCTCAGCCTGCTGCTTTCTTATAGAACCCAGGACCACCAGCAGAGGGGTGGCCCTATCCATAGTGGACTGGGGCTTCCTATGTCAGTCACTAATTAAGAAAATGTCTACTGCCTGCAGCCTGATCTTATGGAAGCATTGTCTCAATTGAGGCTCCCTTCTCCCAGGTGATTTTCGTTTTGTATCGAGTTGGCATAAAACTAGCTGGCACAGGAACTATATGTACAAAGAAAAGAAGGGGAAGAGGGCCGTCTTGGGTACGGTGGCAGGCACTTGTCCATAAGAAAAATAGAAGATACTGTGTCTTAGATTCACAGGAGGATAGGTGGGCTCCTGTCTTTAGACAGGAGAGGAGTAGATGATGAAAAGTCACAGGTGGTGTAAGTAGATATGTCCGCTATAGGCTCACGTGTTTGAATGCTTAGCCATAAGGAGTGGCACTATTAGGAGGTGTAGTGTTGTTGGAGGAAGTGCATCAGTGTGAGAGTGAGCTTTGAGGCCTCCTATGCTCAAGCTCGGCCAGTGTTACAGTCTCTAGCTACCGCCCTCTGATGGAGATACAAAATTCTTGGCTCCTCCGGCACCACATGCTTCCCACCATGATGACAATGGACTGAACCTCTGAAACTGTAAGTCAGCCCTAATTAAATGTTGTCCTTTATAAGAGCTGCCTTGGTCATGATGTCTCTTCACAGTAATAAAACTCAAACCAAAACAGTCATCCTTTTAGAACTGGCAAATTGAGTTAAAGCATGCATGCACATTGAAAGACACTTTGTTGAACAATGTTTACCAAAACTGGTTCTGCCCCTTATGCAAAGAGTTAGGCCAAGAGGACCACACCTACATCAATAGTCACACTGGCCCAGTTGGCTTCCAATTGTTCCTAACCCTGGCCAGGGGCAGGAGCCCTGGACAGACCTGCCCTCAGTACTCAGGCACTGCTGGGCCCCCACCAAGGACACCAGTGGCAGGCCATTCACCTCTCTATCCAGAGCCTGGTTCCATACATGTGAAATCTAACTGGTCTACCCTGCACCCCAGGACACAGAAGAAAACTGCCCAGGGGAAAGCTTGATATCCTAAAGGTCCTGAAGGCTCTCAGCTTTCAGATAAGCCTGGCTATCCCAGAGTCTTCCAAAGGCTCAGATGTATACTAGTCTGTCCCCAGGATTCTCTGATGCCTATGGCCATGCCACAGGACTGCTAAGACCACAGGGCAGTCACCAAGCGCCAGGTGCTGGAATTTGAAGTACAGAAATCAAAGCAGAGGCCCAGCAAGGATATGCTCCAAGCTTCAAGTTCTTTCCTAGCCCAACACAAAACCAGGCCCTGGCTGGTGCTAGGCCCTACCCTCCTGCCTATGAGGGTTCCCAAAGCTCCATGCTGGACCTGCCTTCTTCCTGTACAAAGTAGCCTTGGCTCAGGAGTCTAGCCTTGGCTCAGACAGAAGTCTCTACCAGCCCTCCCCTCAGGGAGGATCCAAGAGAAGTTTCCTACTAGCTAGGTCTCACCTCCTTTGCTCAGAACCTTCCAGTTCCCCATGAACAAAGTTCCTTTAAGAGTCAGCCAGCACAGTCCTGTTTGGCTCACTCCAACACAGCCACTTACAGCAACATAGCTAGCAACAAAGCTAGCTCTGCCATCCTCCATGACAATGCTCCCCAGTGTCTGAGAAGCCCACATTCTTACCACTGGATGAGCTGCTCCAAACCAAGAGTCTTTGTTCCCTCGGCCTGGGCTAATCCCTGTGCCCAGGGGAGAGCCACTTACTATGCCTCTGACTTCCCAGATGCTCCTGCCATCCTCAGAAAAGGAGGCATGGGGCTCACAATGCTTGGGCTTAGAGACCTTGCAGGAGATTCCTGATAGGTAGCAAAGACTCAGCTCAAAGAGGTGCTTTGGATTCAGTCACTGGTTATCTACCATGTGCACCCATGAACAGCACACTGCCATCCTCTGCTGTGAATGTAAGCTGGTGGTATGTGCATGCCGGGTGCAGCCTTGGGATCTGTACCATTCCTGGTTATCACCAACCACTCTGTACCCTCCTCCCTCCCCACCTCCACCCTCCTCCCTCTCCACCCCCACACAGTGTTCAGTGCCTTCCATGACTGATATCAAGCCACCACAGTCTAGATATGCCACAGAACAAGCTCCAGGCACAGCTGTTTCCTTTCTATTAAAACTTTAATAAAAGTACCTTTCTCTGAAACAAGTTATAAAAATAAAGTTGCTAACTCAAAAGTCCTGTGCACAGAACCGGAGAAGGTGAAGCAGCTCTCCCAGAGGGGCTCATGGCAGGGAGAGCAGTGTCCAGCCAAGGAGATGGGTCCCCACTGACCATGGAACTCCATCTCAGGGCAGATACACCATCTCAGTCTCCCAGAGATTTGGCTCTGATTTTGGATGTGATTTGATTAAAAATCATGTATTTTTTAAAAATTGGCTACTAATTGATCCTTCTTGATTCCCAAAAGCATAGCACAGGGCAGAATAAATTTTCAGAGAACAGATTTTACATAGTCCAAAACAAAAATTAATGGATCTATACAGTAGCAAAGGCATCTGTACAAAGGTGATGTTTACTAAAGTATTCAGTACCCTGGCAGCTTACCGGGAAGGGACAAAGCCCTGTCATCAGGTCAGCTCACATGTCCAGAGAGGAGGCCAGATAAAGGGTGAGAAATGCACAGGGCCTTCCAGCGCCAGGCAGCCTAGACACAGCCCAGGGCAGCTCTGAGGATGGCATGCCATGGCATACCAAGCACACCCACCAGATCTTCCAGAGTTCAAGAAGGGCTCTAGTTCATCCTAGTACCCCAGGAGTCGCTTGGCTTCTTCACTCTGTGCCTGAAGGGTCTCACTTGCATATTTCTGGAGCAGTTCCATTTTCTTCCTCCGTACAAGCGCCTCTTCAATCTGTGGACACCCACAGTAAAGAAGTCACCCTTCGGCAAGGCTCCCACCTCTACCACAACCCAAGTAGGGAATACCTGTAGGGACATGGTCAACAAGTCTGACTTTCACCAGACTTATTCCAAGGGGGTCTGCAAGACCCCAGCCACATCCCCCAGAAACACTCCATCAAAGCTCCTGCTTATCAGTTCCGTCAAGATGGTCCTGCCCTTCATGGATCCCACATCCCTTTGTGAACACACCAATGAGTGCCACATGGTCAGAAGTCAAGAATGCACAGTGGTAGGGAGGGACGAGGAACACTGGGAAGGTGAGCCTCGCTGGAAGACTGGCTCTATGGGCAGCACTCTGTCTCAGGGCTCACAGCATCCAGCCTACCTCCTGCTGGGATGGCACCGGAACATGAGCAATGAACTTCTGCTGACCATCTTCCCCTGCCTTCTCCTGGCTGCCTTCCTCATCAGACTGTGGAAGACAAACATATAAGCCATGAGCAGGTCACCAGTGACATAAACACTGACACCTCTGTACCAAGTGTTACCCAGCTGGGCCTGGTGGCACAAACCTGTAACCCTACACTTGGGAGCTGAGGCAAAAGGTCTGCCTCAAGTTCCTGCCAGTCTGGGCTACAGAAGTGACCCTGTCTCCAAACATAACAATAAAAACCAAAAGCACCATGGACCTGGGAAGTAACTGTAAGGCCTGTCTCAACAATGTAGTAAAGCCCTATCTTAAAATAAAAAGAAGCCTGGGGACAGAGTTCAGTGGTAGAAGCCTTACTTCCCCAGTACCACAAAAACAAGCAAACAGGCAAAACACTTAAAGCAGCTAAAATTATTTAAAAGGGAAAGAAGTCCTTCCCATTGTTTTTACAATAGAGGAAAAGCCGTTTGGGTGGGAAGCTCTGGTCAGCCCATCACACCAGCCACACTTGTCTGTGCCCGACACTGGCCAGCCAGCTGTCCCCACTTACCCTGGCTTCTCCCATACATGCTGCTTGCTTTGCTCCTGCACCTAGCTGAGCATAGTGTGTCTAGACCACTAACTACAGACCTGAGGAATCAGGTGACTATTTATTTGTAACCCAGAGAAAGCCTAGGGCATGCCACCATCCTGCTTTAAACGCTTTACTGATCCCGACTGCAGGTCAGCTGGACCTGTGCAGAAACCTCCATATCCTGTAGCATTCCCAAAGTCCTCAAACCTGTCTCCAAAACTGCTTCTTTGCCAGTGATGTACAAGCAAGTTCCATCAACTGTAGATGAAGAATCTGCCTCACCTCCCCTGTCTCAGAACAGCAAATCAGAGGTGTTCTGACTGGTCCATGCTGAACCCAATAGAGTCTAGAGCCCAGAGGTTCTGCATGAGAGGTGCGGACCACAGCCCCATCCCTGGTCACAAGCCTCTGAAGAAACCCATGTGCCTGTTTCCATCTGGGAAATGGATATGGATGCCTACACAAGAGTTGCTGTGAGCCACAGAAGTGCTAAGGTCATGGGCTAAAGCTTCTGCGACCTAAACTGGGTTTATAAACTGTCCTACATCATTCAAGAGAACTGGCCTGTTGGAAGGAAGCTAACAATTGTTCCCTTAGCCCTTCCTGTCTGGAACCTTCCCTGTGCTCCTGCGAAGGGTTATCACAGCCATCCTGCAGGTGAGGAAGCTAGGCTCTGTGCCATAGCCCAGTCCCCTCCCTAGTATACTCTATAGCTCAGAGAAGAGGACAGTGAGCACCAGACAGGACCCATGCCCATACCTCCTCCTCCGTGACAGCATAGATGTTGATCTCCTCTTCCTCCTCCTCCTCCTCTTCCTTTTCTCCCCTTGCCAGCCGAGCCTCTCTCTCTGCTTTCCATTTTTCCACCAGCTCAGCTCTGACTGAAGACAGAGAAGAATTGAAGATTATTTAAAACCATTTCAGTGGACTGAGAGGCCAAGATGTCCCCTTTGGAAAAAAGACACCCTGATTCTTCCCTGGAGGGTGAAAACTGCTCCAAAGGACAGTCTGTCCTATAAGGCCTCTCACCTTAAGTAGGTAGATAGGTACAAGGCAGGCTTTGTGACAATGTCTCTGACCTTTCCAGTGGCCGAATGACATGCATATGTGAAAAAGGGAAGGACACATGCATGCTGGGTCCACCCTCACCAAGCAGTCCAAATTCCTATGGGAATTGCCATGGACCCCCCTCCTCAGGCTAGCATGGTATGCTCTATAGGAAGAAGCAACCACTTGTATACACGGCTCCTCCCTTTCCATCAGTTAGCTGTCAGCTGTGCAAGAAAGCAGATCTAAAAGCCACTGGATACCACTAAACAAGTTCAAAAAAAGCTAGCTTAGGATTCTAGATCCAGCCCTCCCAGAAACTGGATCAGGACAGAGGAAAATCTGTGGCTTCACCTGCTGCTGCAGGCCCAGCATGACCCTGACTGCCTCACCTGCCGCCTAGATGTCAGATCGTTGCCAGCCCCTACAGCCCCTCGGCAACAATAAAGCTAGCTTTTGGTATCATGCACTGTTTCATTTGCAATGGAGAGATAGAATCCAGGTGCCAGCTATAGTGACACGCCCACAGACATACGTTTCTTCTCATACTCTTGTTCCAAGGGCACAATAACTCCATCGTCTTCATCCAGGTAACCATAGTATTCAAAGTCGATTGCCTTCATGAGCTCAGCACGTGTCTTTCTGGGAGGAGGAAGGGCTACAAGAAACGGCAGCAACTTAACTGAATTCCCAACAAGATCACCCTTGAGCCAAACCTTTTCTCCACACAGGACACATGGCCATGGAAATGCCACAGTCAGCACTTCTCTGTGTCATACATGGGACCAAGTGAGGGGGCTCACTCTTCCCAAAGCTGCAGCTTTGGTCCAATGAGTAGAACCAAATTAAAGTTTATCCTTAGGCTACGGGTATAGGCCAGTGATCAGAATCCTTGCCTCGTATGCCCGAGGCCCTTGGTTCAACCCTCAGCATTACAAAAGTAGATTCATACCAAGTAAATAAATGGAATGTGTGTGGTTTAAATAAACAGAGCTGGGGCTGCAGACCGAAGGGGACCGAAGGGGACCGAAGGGGACCGAAGGGGACCGAAGGGGACCGAAGGGGACCGAAGGGGACCGAAGGGGACCGAAGGGGACCTCTGTTTAGGAAGGCCTAGGGCCCAGGCTCAGTCTGAAGCACTTTCTAGCAACATCCTCAAGCCCACAGGTCTATAATAAAGTTTTATAGGCAGAGAAATACAACACAAAAACACTAGGGATAACCTAAGATTATAAGTCATGGAGTGGGGTATCCTGAAACCTCTTTGACACTGTTTTACAAAGTGTTTTAACAACCCAGGAAATGGTACAATGTTGTCCGACACAAAACAAATTCATGGAAAAGAAAGCATAAGAAGCGTACATGAGAGTTCTCTGAGGAAAGCACGTCAGACCAAGGACTCTGACTAGAACACGGACATAACCATCAAAAAGACAGCAAATGAAAACTCTGGCTGAAGAATAAAGGTTGACTACTGAAGACGGGAAAACTGTGGAGGTGAAGAGACAGCTCAGGGCTTCAGAGCACTGTCTTCCAGAGGACCTCGGATGGTCCCAGCATCCACATGGTAGCTCACAACCATCTGTATGTAACTTCAGGTCCGGGGGATCTAATATCCCCTTCTGGACTCATGCAGACAAAAACACCCGTACACACAAAATTAAAATTAAAATTGAAAAAAAAAATATTTAAACCCCCCCCAAAATTTTATATAACCCAAAAAAATTTAAGAAAAAAAATGTATGAACATTTCCACTAGTAATTAAATTTAATTATCAACTTTATTAATTACAGAAATAAGCAGAGAATGATAGCAAACATCTCTTATCCCAGCATGTGGGAGGCCAGCCTGGGCTACCATACAAATTCCAGGCTGTCTTGGGCTGCACAGTAAGACCGTGTCTCAAAACAAAACAGAAAGACAGCTCAGCAGCTCAAAGGGCCTGCTAGGCAAGCCTGACGACCCAACTTCAATTCTCAGAACCATGTAAAGGAGCCAGATACAGTAGCACACATCTGTAAATCCAGACTCCTGCATCAAGATGGGAAACAGAAACAGGAGAATTGCTAGGAAGCCAGACAGCCTAAAGTACATAGCATAGAGGCTTAAACAAGAGAGACCCTGCCTCAAATACAGCAGGAGAGAACCAACTCCCAAATGCTGTCCCCCCCACATGCACACAGGAGCACACATGTGCCTGCACTTATACACAGACACATACATATCATTTTTTTAAAAATCACAAAAATCACCTGCCATACATGTATACTAACACCAAGTCTTGGGTCTCTGGAAAAACACTGAAACAGATGGCTATAAGCTATTGTAAACAGGCAGCTTTTGTGGAACTTTACCAGCCTGAGGACTCATAGACCTTGTAAATAGGTAGCCTTGGCAGATAATACCAACTTAGATAAGGACAAGTGAATCATAGGCAGAGTCATAGTGACCTGTCCCCTGAACCTTCACCCAGCTGATACCCTGTTCTGAAAGATATCTGTATTCCCCCTGAACACCCATGGTCCAGTGTCATCTCCTTCCCCACGTCCTGCCTTTTTGTGTTTTTAACCCCTGTGTGAATAAGTAAATATTACGATTTGAAAAAAATTAAAAATCACAAAATCTTATGATTACGAGAAGTAGAAACAAAGGCCCACCAACAGAACACTGCTTAAAGAATGGCCAATCCACACAGCGACCTTTTGCTTTCCTTCTGGTCCTAAGTCCAAGCCCAGGGCCTCCCCACACAGGGCCTCCCCACACAGGGCCTCCCCACACAGGGCCTCCCTGCACAGGCTCAGCGGGTGCTTCACCATCGACACCCCTGTGATGCCCTTCAACTCCTTACAACCAATTATGGAGTAGCTTTTACATGCTTGCATCAAGGGGTGTCACAAAAGTATGGGACAGCCATGTTTTGGCAGACCCCCACTCACTGCCCACATCTGATAATGGCAACTTTATCTGCCATTTTAGGTCATGTCCTATGAAGGAGTGCTCATCACACTGGCAGAGGAAAAGCACTGCCGTCCACCTGAACGTAAGGACCAGTTTCAAAATGCAATCATGTGGAATAGAAGGAAAAAAAACCCACTTTCAGGTGACTGGTATTGATTAATATTTACCTAATATGGAAAAAATAAGCCTTGAAAGGGCCTAGAAGGAAAGCTGAAGATGGTGAAGGGCCCTCGTCATCTCTACAGCGTCCTAGATGAGGCACCAAGGGGGCTTAAACGTCTCTTTAACTCTACTGATAAGAGTGCCTTCTGCACACCACTCCTGAGCCAGGCCTGCTCGCACAGGAGGCTGAGGCAGGATATACTTGAGCCTTTGAGCTCATGAGTTTAAGACACGCCTGGGGTAAAACTGAAAGGCTCTGTGTCAACAGCAGGAAAGCCTACCACGGAAGGAAAACTACAGCTGAAGGGCTGAGGATGAAAGGCAGTGGCAGAGTGCTTGTCTAGCAAGTGCAAGGCCTTGAGCTCAAATCTTAACAAGGCAAAAATATTCACTACAAAATGCAACGATGACATGTCTGAGTGGGTAAAGGTGCTCACCAGAGGCCTGATGACACACTGATAAATAAATGTCGATTACATTAAAGAAAAATGAAGGGTAGATGGAAAAAAAACCAGAACAACAATAACAACAAAAGTCAGATACAATGACATTAGGTCTGTAATCCCAGACCTCTGGAAGGTGAGATTAAAGTTAGTTGGCAAGTTTTAGGCCAGCCTGAACAGTGTCTTTGAAAAAAAAAGGATAGGTGTCTATAATCCTGGCAGGCGGAGACAGGAAGATCAGGCATTCAAAGCCTGGACTACCTGAGACCATATTACAAAAATATAAAATGAACTTAGGAATACAATTTTCAAACTATTTTTTAAAAATCTGGGGACAAGCCGAGCAGTGGTGGTGCACACCTTTAATCCCAGCACTTGGGAGGCAGAGACAGGCAGATTTCTGAGTTCGAGGCCAGCCCGGTCTACAGAGTGAGTTCCAGGACAGCCAGAACTACACAGAGAAACCCTGTCTCGAAAAACAAAACAAAAAAACAACAACAACAACAACAAAAAAAAAATCTGGGAACAATAATTCCTACACAGCATAGCATCCAGCATACTTCTGTCACTCAGCAGCAACAATTAAAGGCCAACACATTCTCAAACACATGAGCTACTTACGTTCTTTCTCAAATAGCTCTCTGACACCAGGCAAATCTTTGGCTGCCCCAAAGTACTTGTAACCTCGGTTTCCTGGGACTTCTTTACCTTCATGATCCAGCATCTTAGGGCCAACTTTCTTGTTGGGAAAGAAAGAGAAGGAATGGATCTGATACACAAGCCTGCTCTTTTGTGTACATTTTAAGATAATGTCACATATGAAAAACACTCTACACAGAAGAATATTTGTGCATTTTTTTTCAAAACCCTTAAACACAAAGCTAGAAAGATGTGGCTCGAGACTAGTGTTCATCTAGCATGCAAGTAGCCCTGGTTCAATCCCCAAAACCAGAAAAAAGTAAGTTTAAAAAATAAAAAAAAAAAATTGTTGGCCTGACATGGTAGCATACACCTTTAATTTTAGCACTGAAAGGACTGAGGAAGGAGGCCTGATGACCTGAGTTCAACTCCCCAGGATCCACATGGTAGAAGATAAAAAATGACTTCTTAAGTTGTCCTCTGTCCACTAAATGTGCACTGTGGTGTGTACATGCACACACATAAATGAATGAATGAATGAATGAATGAATGAATGAATGAATGAATGAATGAATGTCATTAAGAAAAATTAAAAACCAAAAGGAAAAATTCAACAGGGCTGAGGATGTTAACTCTGCACTGTGCTTCCTTAGACCCGAGTATAACTGGGTGTGGGCGTACATGCCCAGAATCCCAGCACTTGAGAGCCTGAGACAGGAAGACTGCCACAAATCTAAGGCTAGCCTAGCCTGAGCTACAGAGTAAGACTTGGTCTGAGAGAAGAAAAAAAAAAAAAAAAAACAAAAAACAGACAAGAAAAGGAAAAATGTATCAAGAGGCCTTGGGATGCACCTGAATCAGGAAAGCCTTGCCTAGCTAGCACAATGAATGCCCTAAGATCAGTCCTCAGCACCACATAAAACCGGGCATGGTGGTATATGCCTGAAACCCCAGAACTCAGGAGGCAGAGGCAAGAGGCAGATGTGCAAGGTTAACCTTGGCTACTTTGAAGCCAACCTGAACTACATGACACTATCTCAAAAGGTAAACAAGCAAAACTAGTAATAAACATAAAAAATAAGGTAGAATGGAAGATGCCAAAGCACATGACAGAACTTCCTGAGCACACGCTGTGTGTACCACACTCTGTGTGTACCACATGGCGGTATAAACTGTGTGTGCTGGGGCTAGACTGGTATAGACCTTAGAAACACATCCTGTTCAAGGCTTGTGCCATTCGGGATTTCAGGATGGTGTCACCATCCTTTTCACAGGCATCCTGCCCGCATGTAACAGCTGCTTCTCAACCCTGGCACCCCTGGCACCTCTGGACAGGCACAGACTGAACCCTACCCACAGTCAATGCACACAGACACACTCTTGGGCAAGTCGTTAGTTTGTCCCAGGTATCCCTGGAGCTCTAGCTACTTACTCCATAGTCAGGACCGCCTAGCTCCTTGATCCGCACCTCCCAGTGTCCTTTCTCCCTTAGCAGCTTGTTAATTTCGTCATTCAGGTCTCGGATTCGGAATTCCCCTAAACCAGCTAGAAAACAAAAATGTTAATATCATTTCTTCAAGATGCTATGCCCTAAAATACTAAATGTCAGTACTTCTAATACATGTACTCAGTGTTACAGCTTTAAGATGGAAGGCCTCAACCCCAATAGTGTACTGAATAAAACTACTTATTTAAATTAAGAAGAAAAGGCCTGGTGTGGCAGTGTGTGCCTTTAATCCCAGCACTCAGGAGGCAGAAGCAGGCAGATCTTAGTGAGTTCAAGGTCAGCCTGGCTGACATAGTAAGTTCTAGCCTAGCCAGGGATACACAGTGATACCTCCATCTCGAAAATAAATAAATAAATAAATTTTTTTAAATAAAACAAATTGATTAAAAAAAAATCACCAGCCGGGCGGTGGTGGCGCACGCCTTTAATCCCAGCACTTGGGAGGCAGAGGCAGGCGGATTTCTGAGTTCGAGGCCAGCCTGGTCTACAGAGTGAGTCCCAGGACAGCCAGGACTACACAGAGACACCCTGTCTTGAAAAACCAAAAAAAAAAAAAACAAAAAAAAACAAGAAAACAAAAAACAAAAACAGAACAAAAAAAAACGAAAAACAAAAACAAAAAAAAACAAAACAAACAAAAAAAAAACAAAAATCACCAACACCCAAATAAAGGAAGACCAAATACTATAAACAACAACTCCCAACAGGGTAGGATTAAAAATTCTTTAAAAAACTTCACCCTCGATGGGCAGCAGTAGCGCACACCTTTAATCCCAGCACTTAGGAGGCAGAGGCAGGCAGATTTCTGAGTTTGAGGCCAGCCTGGTCTACAGAGTGAATTCCAGGACAGCTAGGGCTACGCAGAGAAACCCTGTCTCGAAAAACAAAATAAAACAAAACAAACAAACAAAAACTTCACCCTCTCTAAGCGATAGTGACACACACCTTTAATTAATAGCCCTTGGGAGGCAGAGGTAGTGGGTCTTCCAGACCAGCCTGGTCTACAAAGTGAGTTCCAGGACACCCAGGGCTATGCAGTGAAACCTGTATCAAATAAACCTTAAAAAGTAGCAACCAAAAAAATATGAATGGAAACCCTTCTCTATCATTTACACCACCTTAGAATGAACAGTTAAGGTTATAGGCAACAGTTACTTTCTGAGGCAAGCAAAGATTCAGTGAGTCTGGCTTAATTAACTGCCAGCACCAGGCTATGCTGCCTTAGTCCTTTCAGGAAAGCAGGCCAAGACTGTGGACTTGACAGATGAAAAGGAAGTGCACAGAGTGCGTGCTGAAAGGCTGACTATGGTGGCTAAGCACTGGACACAGATGGACACCCCAACATAGATGCGAGGATGGTTGGTGACCACACAAGTTGAGAGTCGTCAGGAGTCCCAGCAAGGTCTGTGTAAGGCAAAGCTAACTGGACTAAAGCTGCAAGTGGCCATGTGGAGAGGGAACACTGTGCAGTGAGGGGTGCGACCTGGATCTGTGTGACAGCTTACATAGGCACGTCGGTCAGTCAGACTCAGCCCGCTTATGTTAGAGATGGCATGCCTCATCCTGAGTAAGTCCATGAAAACAAAGAAGAAAAGATAAGATGGAGAGAGAGCTCCGTGGTTAAGAGCATCTGCTGCTCTTGCAGAGGACCAGTTTGGGTGGCAGCCAGAGGAGGAAGAGGAGGAAGAATCACCACCACCATCATCATCACCATCATCATCTCATCATCATCAACAACATCAGGTGTTATAGTAACTTCTTGCTGACATTTTGAAAACCGAACTGGAAGCTGGCTGTGGTGGTGCATGCCTGTAATGCTGGCAGTAGCGAGACGGAGGTTGGAGAATGAGGAGTTGAAGATCATTCTCGGTGACACAGATGAGGCTGGGATACCTGAGACCCTTGTCTCAAGACACAAAAGAAAATCTACACAGAGAAACATTCACATGCTTGGTACAAAGCTACGAGGTTTTACAAGCGACACAAGTCATCACTACAACCAAGACACGGAGATCACCCACCATCCCTAAACATCCTCTCACGCTCCGCGGTGGTCAGCCTCAGCCCTCCATACAACTACTAATGTCACTGTTTTCTGTTCCTATGATTGTTCTTATATGTCACATAAATGAAGTCACATGGAGTGGCACTTTGAGTTAGGTTTCAGTTGTTTTGTTGTTTTGTCACAGGGTCTCCCTAAGAAGCCCTGGCTGTTCTGGAACTCACTATGAAGACCAGCAGGTTAATTCTGAGCTTGCAGAGATCCTCCAGCCTCTGATAAGACTAAATGGTTATGTCACCATTCTCAGTACATTTGGGGTTTATGCTCCTGGCACTGATCCACATGTGTGTGCATCACTAGGTAGCATTTCAGCATACGGACAGACCTTTGAGCTGCTTCCTGGTTGAGACAAAATTAATTAGGGGCTAAAGTGCTATACTTTTTTGTTTTGTTTTGTTTTGTTTTGTTTTGTTTTTTCGAGACAGGGTTTCTCTGTGTAGCCCTGACTGTCCTGGAACTCACTCTGTAGACCAGGCTGGCCTTGAACTCAGAAATCCACCTGCCTCTACCTCCCAAGTGCTGGGATTAAAGGTGTGCGCCACCACTGTCCGGCAAAGCTGCTATACTTATTAGATATTTTTGTTGGAGAATGCAACTGTAGGATAGCAGGCTGCAGTGTTTACTTTTATAAGAGATTATAAAGCCACAGTCTACAGGGGCCATCACTCTCCTCACTAGCCGAAGAGTACAAGTGCTCCACCTTCTCTGCCACACTCAGCCATGTGCCTTTTGCCTGTGCAGTACATACAGTACCCTGTAGTTTTCATCTATGCGCTATACATGAAGCACATGCTCATCTGCCTCTATGCATGCTCTTTGGTAAAGTGCTTAAACATCTATTTTTAAAACAGTTTATTGTTTTCTTATTACTGACTTTTAGCAGTTCATTCCTTACTGCTGCCTTCCCCACTGAACTGCCTTTATGCCTCCATCAGAAGTGCACAGAACAGCCCTTAGGAGGCTAAGGCAAGAAGATCAAAACCTCTGGCAGGCCTGAGCTACAGTGAGACTGGCTAAGAGAATGAGAGATTGCCGGATGGGGGGAGATATGTGCCTAGGTAAGGCGCCACTCTCTCTGGATGAACTCTATCTTCGTGTCCACATAGCTATCCTTTTACCAATGTAGGTTTTTGGTTTCTGTTTCTTTCTTGTATGTGAGAGGGTCTCTCTATGCAGCCCTAGCTCCTGAAACTCACTATGTAGACCAGGCTGTCCACTCTGGCCTCCAGAGCGGTGGATTCCAGGTGTGCACCACACATCTGGCTCTCCCTCACAAATACACTTGTTGTAGTGGCTTTACTTTATATTAAGCTTTTTAAATTTAAGTGGTACGAATGTGCCAATTCTGTTCCTTGTTTTTAAAGTGGTTTGCAGTTATACATATACATACACATTGTGTAAAAAAAAAAAATAGTATGTACTTATGTATATTTTGGAGACAGTATCTTGTGGCCCTGGCTGGCTTCAAACTTCTTATGTAACTGAGGATGATCTTGAATTTCTGATCCTTTAGCTTGTATATCCCAAAGCTCAGATACCCAGTTTATACAATGCTAAGGATCAAACCCACAGCTAAGTGTGTGCCAAGAAAACCCTTTATTACCTGATCTACATCTTCTTTCTTAACATTTAAATTTTTTGATAAAATTGTCAACATAAAAAAAAAAAAAAACCTTTTTTTTTGGCTAGCATTTGCAGGAAAAAACTAGTGGCTACATATCAAGACCTTATCTCAAAGAGTAGTAACAAAAAAGCTGGGTGTGACGGTCCATGCCAGTAACCCTAGCACTAGGAAGGCTGAGACAGGATAGCTGTGAGTTCCAGAACAGCCAAGGAGGAAGGAAAGGAGGGAAGAGGGATGGTAGGACTATGCAGAGTCCTACCACCTTCAAACACAGCATCTCTTCATATTATTAACGTTTCTTAATTCCTTTCAGCAATATTCTGCTGTGTTCAGCAAACTAACTCTGGATATATCTGCTAGGTTTATACACAAGTAGACTGGAGTATGTGTCAGTAGTGGAAGACCAAATGTACAAGACCCTAGGTTCAATCCCCAGTACCACCCAAATAGACATATACTGTGTAAATATCCTGGTTTCCTGGTGTGTCTGTGTGTCTAACACTTGTGTGTGGGTACCAGCAGAGGTCAGAACAAGATGTTGGATCCCCAGGAGCTGGAGTTAAAGGTAGGTGTGACAATGTGGAGTGGAGACAGGTGACCAAGCACAGTTCTCTGGAACAGCAGAGCAGTTCCTAACCACAGAGGGGCTCCCCAGCCCTTTGCTGTTATCTCGATTGGTTTTCTTTTCTTTTTGTTCTTTTTGTTTGTTTGTTTTCTTTTCTTTGTTTTGGTTTTTGAGACAGAGTTTCTCTCTATGTAGCCCTCACTGTCCAGGAACTCCCTTTGCAGACCAGGCTGGCCTGGAGATCCACCTGCCTCTGCCTTCCTGTGTGTTGGAAAGAAATAGTGAACAAACCATCTCAAGCAGTATATTTGGTTAGTTTTCAAACCTGGGTTGTGTCCTGAAACATGAGGTTGTCCTGCCTGACCCTCGTACTTACCGGTTTTATAAATGTTAACAACACAAAGCTCTTGAATTTCCACACACACATGCACATGCTAAGCTTTAAGTACGTAGGCATTTTTCTTCCTGTTGTTATAATTAGAAGACTTAATTTGTAAGATTTCAATTATTTTTAATTTTCTGACATTTGTCATATGACCTAGAAGAATATCTTCTACTTTGGTGAATGATGTGTGTGCTCTTATAAGGGAAACAGAATATAGTCATAGATAGATAGATGGGAGGCTGGAATGGGAAGATCAAGTAGGAACAAGGGAAGGGGGCTGTGGGGGGGAATACAGAGAGAGACAGCTAAAATTCAAAGTCATTTGAGGGGTAGTATGGAAGCCTATTACAGAAGAAACTTCCTAAAACATATACACATTGAAGGCGATCACCTCTTATCACCAAACTAGGCGTCCAGTACTGGGATTGTGTTATATTTAACTAAGTTGTTGTCCAAGAAACTCCACGGGAATGGTTAAACAACCCAGGCTGTTGCCAAGACGACAGGTTGCTTGTCCACAAACTGACAGCAAAGCTCCACTGCTGAAGACAACATCTATATGACTCACTGAAGACGGAGATGTCCAGCCAGTGTCTACATAGAGCCTTCACCTTACATCCCAGCATCTTTGGTACAGAATCATACGCTCTTAAGAGAGACTGGAACACTAACTGAGCTACAGACTCTTTACTACAGTGGTGTCCTGCCTGCAAGATATGCTAGGGCAAGCAATCAGTGGCACAGAGCTGTGGTCGTAACAAACAACGTCTAGCTTGACCTAAAGCCCACTCCACAAGATGAATACCTGACACTGCTTGGGTGGGTGATCAAGAACCTGAGACTAAGACAGCCCAGGCACCAAGGGCAAACACCCTTTCCTAGTCTAAAAAGGAAAAATAAAAGCAGTGAGAAAATCAGTCCTCCTGACAACCTGCTATGCTCACAGACCAGTGCCTTGCTCGGCCAGCATCAGAGATGATGCTTCTTCCGTAGCCAATGGGAACAGATATGGAGACCTAGAGCCAGACATCCCACAGAGAACGAACACTCGGCCCTAAATGCAAGTCTACATCAAATCCTGTCCCTCAGGGGCGGTGGTGGCACATGCTTTTAATCCTAGAACTTGGCAGGCAAAGGCAGGCTGTTCTCTGAGTTGGAGGCCCGCATGGTCTATATAGCCAGTTTCAGGATAGCCAGGGCTACACAGGGAAGCCCTGTCTCAAAAAGCAAAAAAAAAAGACAAAACAAAAACCTCAGAAAAGGAGGCAAAAAAAGTGTAAGGTCCAGAGGGGAGGGAGGACACCAAGAAAACAAGACCCTCTAACTCAACATGAGCAGAGCTCACGTGAACTCACAGGGCCTGCGCATGCATAGGGCCTGCACAGCTCCCACCATGCCCTCTGCATTTGTACTATGGCTTCCAGCTAGGTGTTGTTATGGGATGTCTGAGTGTGTGAATGAATGGGTCTCTGATTCTTTTACCTTCTCTTGGATGCTTTTCCTTCTGTTGGTTTGCCTTGTCCAATTTCGATGTGACAGTTTTTGTTTTATCATATTATTTATTTTTTTTACATTTTTTAAAAATGAATGAATGAATGATTAAAAACGTATCCACTACAGTAAGGATTAACAGCTGAACTGCCATTTATGCATACTGGGACAGGGAAAATCAGTTTTCTTTTTTTCTCTTTTTTTTTTTTGTTTTTTTCGAGACAGGGTTTCTCTGTGTAGCCCTGGCTGTCCTGGAACTCACCCGGCAGACCAGGCTGGCCTCGAACTCAGAAATCTGCCTGCCTCTGCCTCCCAAGTGCTGGGATTAAAGGCGTGTGCCACCACCGCCCGGCTCAGTTTTCTATATAGAACAACACTAGATATATCAACCACTCCATGAGAGGCCTCATGTTCAGGAGTAGTTGATCAATATGTACACAGAGCTCTGCCGGTTTTTAGTGTGCTTACCTTACACTCGGTTGCAATTTAGGTTTGGTTTTTTGTTCTGTTTGTTTGGGGGCGGTATTTTGCTTACTTGGCTTGGGGGATTTTGTTGTTGTATTGGGTTACTGTTTGTTTTTAGAGAAAGAACTTAAAAGTTGGGTGGGGGGGAGAGGATCTAGAAGGACTTGGAGGAGGGGAAAAATATGATCAAAATATATTTAAAATAGTTAAGTGGAATGTTATTAGACGCTGCATTCTGTCAACGTCAGCTAGGCCAAACTGACTGACACAACTGTATTCGTTTGTTTGCTGGTTTTCACCTCCTGTGAGGGTTCCCTTGAGCTGCTGCCTGCACTTCCCTGACAGTGGGATTGCAAGCTTGCACCACACCTGGACAATGTTCACATCTGGTCCCCACTTCTGACTCTGCGCTCTACAACACTTTAGAAGGTAAACAGCTTACCATTCTGAATCTGAGCGACTTTTTTTGAGATCTCTCCAATGATCTGTAGGGAAAATAACAGGCAAATTTTCATGATTTTTAAACATATTGGAAAGTCCTGGAAACCTGTAATTCACAAGCAACAAAAATGGTACAGGTGGGGCTGGAGAGATGGCTCAGTGGTTAAGAGCACTGACTGCTCTTCTAGACGTCCTGAGTTCAATTCCCAGCAACCACATGGTGGTTCACAGCCATCTGTAATGGGATCCCATGCCCTCATATGGGTGTCTGAGGACAGCTACAGTGTACTCATATACATAAAATAAATAAATTTAAAAAAAAATGGTACAGGTGTGGCAGAGCACACCTTTAACTCCACCACTGGGGAGGCAGAGGCAGGCAGAGCTCTGTGGGTTCAAGGGCAGTTTGGCCTATGCAATGAATTCTAGGTCAGCCAAGGCTACAAAGTGAGACTATGTCTTAAAAAACAAAAACAACACTGAGCAGTGGCGGTGCACATCTCTAGTCCAAGCACTTGGGAGAGAGAGGCAGGCGATCTCTGTGAGTTAGAAGGCTAGCCTGGTCTACAGAGAGAATTCCAGGCCAACTAGAGCTACACATAAAAACCATGTCTCAAAAAACCAAAAATAGCTTTTAATCCCAAAACTAGGGAGGCAGAGGCAGGCAGATCTCTATGAGTTAGAGGCCAGCCTGGTCTACATAGAGATTAGTTAGAAATACAAAAAGAGACCCAGTTTCAAAAAAAAAATTGAATTCTGGTTAATAATCATTGATGAGATAAAAAGAACCAAGCAGAGGCATTATTTCTACTGAACACACCTGTCGTCTCCACTTCTCCGCTTTCGGCAACTCAGTACATTCAGAAGCAAGAAAAGGTCTCCGTTCCTAAGGAGGATGAGAGTAACACATTGCAACTAGGCTCTGTACACACTTACGTACCGTCCACAGCCAACTCAGCCTTGAAACCTGAAATATCTAATGCTCTAAATATACTTGAAGTCACAGTGCTAGAGGACATTCAACTCCTAACCATTACTGAACTATCTCTTCTTAGGAAACTATATAGTTAGGATACACAATTACTCAAGGAGCAATGTATAGTTAAAATAAATATATGTAAATATTTAATCTCTCTGGGTCCACTCTCTACCTTCTTCTAGTCAATATTAAAGCTGGAATAATGAGGGGAAAGCAGGAGGCAGATAGTCACACTGCCAAGAGAAAAGAGGCACAGCAGCGATGCAAGTGTACAAACTCCTCAACAAACACAGCAGGAAGAGCTGGGGTTCGAAGCCTGCCCAGGGGGTGTCAGCCCATTTGCTCCCTGATACTTCCCAGGGAACACTACACTCACCTTGACTTTTCCCTCTTCCAGCTGGGCTTGACGAAATCTCGCCAGGGCAGTCCTGCAGGCACACAAAAGACTCCATTAGATTTCTTATCACTCGAGTTCCTGCATGGGGTAGATCTGCTAACGACCACATCTAACATCCTTCATGTAAATGGTAATAAGAAAACCAGACTAGTTTAGGATTTCATGTTCCAAGGGATAGGCCTCAAACTCCATTTGTGTTTCCAGGTACTCAAGTATCTATTTACATTGCGTATGTAGACTGTGGGAAAATTCTATTTCTCAGACTGTGATAAGCAATATATAGAAGTGTCAAAAGATTCCCATCGGGTTTCCCTTCCTGTCATTTCCAACTCATCCCCAAGAGGGAAAATGTTTACTCAGTGAGTTTAAGATCTGGAAGACGTCAGACATTAATGGGAAAAAAAAAACCACAAGCAAACACAGAAAGGTTATTTTAACACATGGAGAGAAGAAAACACTTCTTAAAAGAGTCCTACCAAAGGGATCACATACAAGTTCTGTGCCAATTACTAAATCTCAAATCTATCAGCCCCAAGGAAGTTGATACTCACATGGCTTTTTCTGCATTTCGGGCCTAGAAAGAGACAAGGGAAGAAAACAACATCAAGTTTAGAATAACTGTCTTTCTTGTGATTGATTTTAAATCATGCTTTTTAATCCATAAATGTGTGTGCCTGCTTGTCTGTACATGCACTGTATGTGTACAGTGGCCAGAGGACAGAAAAGAACACCAGTTCCATGGAACTAGAATATAGGCAGTCGGAAGCCACCTGATATGGATGATGGGAACCAAACCTGGGTCCTCTGTAGGAACAATAAGTGCTCTTAACCACTAATTCCTCTGGCACTAGAATCTTTTTTATCACTTCTACTGTTTTGTTTGTTGGTTGGTTGATAAAGTGGAAATTTCTGGTTTCTTTGGAAACTCAGTTGTGTCATATAATGTTTTTCTGGAAACTCTCTTCTGAGAGGATGTTTGTGCTGAAGAAGACACATGGGAGGATGTTTTGCTAAGAACAGCCATATGGTGTTCTTCTGGAGGCAGCCTGGAAAGGGGGCATGTGATGTTTTGATAAGAGCGGATGCTTGAGAGACCATATGTTTGGAAAGGATATAAATGTAGCCCGAGAGACAGTGGAGGATGTTGGATGGTATTGGTATACCTTACCGTTCTTTGTCAGTCATTGTTTGTCATGACTTCATAGAGGAAACACATCAAAAAACTTCTGGTGGTGTTCTAGCAGCTTCTTGCTGCTTCTGCAGATTCGGGCCAATTGCCAGAGCCTTGCAGTTTCTACTGGATCAACCTGCTGTTGCTGATTCATGAATGGTGTTTTCAAGTCCTGCCATTGCTGACTCCTCAGAAATGATATTTGTGAATGGATCTAGCTGCTGCTGCTCAATTGTGTAAACTAAATTGCTACTACCCTGACAATGCAAACTAAATTTGTTCCAAAGAAGTATTTCTAAACAGGTTCACATCCTCCTTTGCTCTATTAGCCTTTCCTTTCCAATACCCCGATGGATAATGGGCTATAAGAGACATTGAAACATTTAAGAACCCTTTAAAAATAGGTTTTTAAAAAATCTAAACCTACAGGTTGATTGGTTTCTGGCTTTTTGAGACAGAGTACTCTGTGTAGCCCTGGCTGTCCTGAAACTTGCTCTGTAGACTAGACAGTCTTTGAACTCAAAGATGGGCCACCTCTGGCTCCCGAGTGCTGGAATTAAAGGTGTGTGCTGCCACCATCACCGGGCTGTGTTTTTTTTTTTTTTTTTAAATCATACACATAGTGCAGAATGTACTGTGATCATATCCTTTAACCTCTCCGACCCTTCTCTCACTCCTGATGACATATGAACCACCTTACACCACTCTAACCAGAAAGCAGTGTAGTTATCTGTTCCCTGCCTGTGGTTCTCAGAGGAAAGCATCAAGACTAGCTTTTGCAAAGTGATGTTCATTTGAGTGCTGACACACCAGTGTTAAGTCAATAGTCCCTAAACGTCACACAGGGTCAGGAAGACTTTTTTTTTCAGTTGGATTGTGTGTGAACTACACAGAGAGAATACTTGCTATATTTGGAACTTAGATTTTGCTCCCAGCTCTTCCTCTCACCATCACTGAGACATGGTCTCTCTAAAACCTAAGTTTCCCTTCACAGCAGATACTGTAGCTTCTATCTTACAATGTTGTGAAGACAAGCAGAAACAGATACACAGTTTAGAGAGTCAGCAAAATGAATTTATTTTAACTTGCCCTTCAGATTGTCCCTTCCAGTCAACTCTGAAAGGACCCTGGCCAGTGGAGGATGGATATATGACAGCAATACAGGACACACCCTCCTGCAGAAGCAGCTGCTTCAAGACTGCTGCTTTCTCTCTTTTTTAGGTTTCTGTTCTCAATAGTTTATAGCTTCCAAAACATCCTCTGTAAGCATTTCATGGCTTCCTTAAATTTTTACGTATCTATTTTATTTAACAGGGGTATGTATCTGTTTGTACCTATGCATGTGTAAATACCACTCTGGCCAAAGTGTATTAATGATTTTTTTTTCTACTTAGTATTGTAAAATACAGACCGGCAAGAAGGCCTATATATTTGAATAAGTGTTCATATTTTGCAAACATATTTACATGGTTATGCATATATTTACACCTGTTCCTTAAACATACTTTTGTGTATGCATATGGATACATATCTACCAAAATAGGCTAGTTTTTAGGTAAGACTATAGAGATTTCAAAGACATCAACAGCCGGGCGGTGGTGGCGCAAGCCTTTAATCCCAGCACTTAGGAGGCAGAGGCAGGTGGATTTCTGAGTTCGAGGCCAACCTGGTCTACCGAGTGAGTTTCAGGACAGCCAGGACTACACAGAGAAACCCTGTCTCGAAAAACCAAAACAAAAAAACAAACAAACAAAAAAATCAAAGACATCAACAAATCTCGGAAGTATGAAAACCACTCCGTATGCTTTTAGGGGGACTTTTACCTTTAAATGTTTGTTATATTTTTTGTATGTGTACGAATGCTTTGCCTGTATGCATGTCTAGTGCCACTTCACAAGTGGGTGTTGGATCCCCTAAAACTAGAGTTTTGGATGATTGTAAGTAACCATGTGGGTGCTGGGAACAAAAGTGGAGTGGTTTTTAACCACTGGGCCATCTCTCGAGGTCCACGGGAACTTTACTTTGAAAATACTACAGTAATCACGCCTCTTTGTACCAACTCTGTGTCTGATCTCATATTTCCATATTAAACACTTCTTGAGTGAATGAAACCGAAGATCACAACGTCTCAACACTTCAGCCCATCCTATTCATTCACTCACGGTGATGTCACACCTGTCTAGAGAATGCCAGACTCTGTCGCCGGCAAAGGTGTAAAGACCCTACCCTTTAGAAGTTCCTATCCCTGGAGATTGAGAACACCTAGGCGGGTCTTCCGCCCGTTCAGTCTCTACCCAAACTGTGCTTCACCCGGACTGAATCACCGAGACGCAATACAGCTCCTAAACTCTGTTTTCTTGCAATTTCTAACAGCTACACCAGGCGAGAAAAGAATCCCGAAATAGGCCAGGGAATCCGAGGCCGCACACTGGCCCGGACATCCCATCGTCCATAAGCCTGATCCCTTCCCCATGACACTCACCATGATGCCGGCGAGGGCGCCCTGGCGCCGCGACGCAACACAACGTGTTTAGGGGCCCGGAACCAGGCAGATAGGCGCGGGAACAGAAAACAGCGGACAGTATGGCCTTTTTGTCGGAAGAATAAATGGAAAGGACCGGAAGTTAAGGACCGGAAGCGAGGGAGAACGGGGGAGGGGAGAGAAACGCAGCAGCGCTTCGGTGGGCGGCTTCCTGCTGACGCGTGTTCAGTGCGTCATCTCGCGCCTAAGTCTGCAAGACTACGCTTGCGCGGGCGGATGGTGTGTGTTATTTTTCGTTTGGTTTCGTTCTGGTGGTAACTGCAATCAAAGATTCGCCTGCCTCTGTCCTTCCTGATTCTTCTATGACAGTGAATGACCTTTTTGAAAAATGACTCCACCTCTCAGAATGTACTTAGTGTTCACAGCCACTCGGGGCCCTAAGTGGACTTCCGTCACCTGCCTGAACCTGGGTCGCTGGCATACCTCCAGGAGCAGGCACTGGTTGAGGAGCCAGTGGAGCGAACCTGCCTTCCTGGGAGGCTACTTAACCGCTGCCTGTCATTTACTTGGAGCTGAACAGTGTCTGAGACTACGATCGTCCTCCTTTTAAGAAACATGTATAATTATTATTCTTTATTAAAGGTGACTGTTTTCAAGAAACTGACAGGATGTCCTCGTGAAAGAAACATTAAGCCAACGAATCAAGCCTCTCCCCACACATTCCCAGAAGGCAGAGACTACTCTGTTTTAAAATACAGAGTTAAGGCTAGGCTTGTTGGTCCATGTCTTCAATCCTAGGATTTTGATGGCAAAACAGACCAGTTTCTGTGAACAGGAGAACACCCTGGTCTACACAGGGAGTTTCAGGCCATCCAGGGGTGCATAATATGACCCTGCCTCAAAAACTAGAGAAGAGCTGGGCACCTTTGATCCCAAGACTCAAAAGGCAGAGGCAGACATCTTTGAAGTTTGAGGCTAGTCTATAAAGTTAAGTTCCACGACAGCTAGGGCTACACAAAGAAACGACTCGGAAAAACAAACGAAACAAAAAAGTAGTGAGAAGAAAATGAATTACGGAGTAAGGTCCAGAGAAGAAAAAGCTACCTGGAGCAGATGGGAAGTTAGAGACTACATTCGTCACTTGGTAGAGATACGGATTCTGGAAATGGTGGTGGGCTCTCCCACTGAGTCAACACTAAGAAGAGTACTCATGTCATAGTCCATGCAAGAATGTTACCACCATGCATATAAGGCCAAATTGGAGTCCTTTATTAGCTGGCAACTAATGGGCAGGCTCTTGTTCCAAAGCTCACTGTGCATGGAAGCTCAGAGATACAACATTTATTAAGGTTAAAAATCTGTGACATTGTAGTCAGGTGTAGCAACCAAAACATTTGTTTTGGCTATGCATTCAGCAGACGTTTTGGTTGTACATCTCAGCCATAGTCAACCCACTATATCAGCTTTCCCTGCTCCTGGCTACTCTGTTAGACTCAACCATAAGTACACAAGATCTCAGCAGAAGCCGTGAACTAGGAGTTCAGGATCAAACAGGTTCAGACAGATACTTGGAATAGTGCTTTGGGTCAAGAGCCCCAAGATTTTTTTGCCTTAACTCTTAATGTCTGCATTACTAAAGCACGGTGACTTTTCACATTCAGAGATTTGTGGAGTTTTGGCCTTTTCTGTTCAACTGTCTGTAAGTTTAAAGCAGGGAGTGGGATTAGGAGGAACCAATGGAAATGACGTCAGAGATGAGCACTGCTCCACTTCCTATGACATGAAAGAACACTAGATTAATGTCTAGCACATTAAAAGTAAACCCCTTGCCGGATGGTGGTGGCACTCGCCTTTAATCCCAGCACTTGGGAGGCAGAGGCAGGCGGATTTCTGAGTTCGAGGCCAGCCTGGTCTACAGAGTGAGTTCCAGGACAGCCAAGGCTACACAGAGAAACCCCGTCTCAAAAAACCAAAAAAAAAAAAAAAAAGGTTTTTACTATGTTGGTCCTGTCTGGAACTTTAGAGCAAGATTACCTCACTCACATACTCACCTCACTTGCTGAGTTTTGAAATTAAAGGCACAAACCACCACATTCTGCAGTTTTTCAAGACTGGCTAGCATCAAACTCTTGAGATCTACCTGCCTCTATCTCCCAGCACTACCTGCCTGCTGCAGTTTTTATACGTGTTTCAAGTGTGTATATATGCAGGATGTGTGCAGTGCCTTTGGAGACCAGTCTTGCTATATAGTTTTGGTCTCCCTTATAAACTTGGTACCCTGAAGCCGTGTGGCATACATCTTTAATCCCAGCGCTCAGTGGCAGAGGATCTGAGTTAGAAAGCAGCCTGGTCAAGAGGAAATTCCAAGACAACCAGGGCAAAACAAAAAAATACTGTCTCCAAAGGTGGAGGGGGGGGGGCAAGGAAAAGCAGGTTACTATACCATAAATAGGTGTAATTTCCTGTTTTATAGCTAACTAAATGTAAAGACTAGGACATGCTGTTTTCTACCTCCAGCTGGGTGGGCACTACTTCCTGAACCAGACTAGGAAAAAAACAGAAAAACTAAAGCACCAAACCTCCTGCCATACAACTACTACATGCCGAAGACAGCACTTTGAATCCTGTAAAGCAGTCACGGTCTCCATAGAATTACATTGTTCAGTCACATGGGCCAGGCTATAGGCCTCAGGCCCTAGGGATTTACATACTAATGAAGGCAGAGCAAATTAAGCATGCCTCCCACAGATCCTCTCCCAATCCTCCCCCTTTCTCCCTCCCTATATAGCTCAGTTTTAGGGTTTTATAACCTGAGTTTAGTTTTATAACCTGAGTTGTAGGGGGTACGCCTAGACCCATCTATCATCCCCCATGACAATAAACCTTTTTGGAACCAAGGACTTCGTGTTGTTGAGGCCTGCCACCGCCAAAGCCTCTAGGCCGCTGGAACTATAGGGCTCCTCCCGAATGTGGGACCCGCAACAGCCCAACGCTGTGGCAGCCTCTAAATTTTCACCACAAAAACCTACTGCAGGGGTCTCAATTTTGAGCAGTTTTTCATGTATTTCAACATAAACCTACCTACTGGGCTACAGGTATGCCCCAGTGATAGGGCCTAACATGCTAAAGGTACAAGTTTCATGTTGCTGTTTTAAGATTCTCAATTATGCATTTTTCTCCAGCAATGTCCACCTGCATGTAGGGACCATGTTAGTAGAGGGCATCAGATCCTGTGAAGGTGGAGGTAACAGGTATTTCTGAGCTGTCCTGCAACAAGACATGGCTAAGGCATCTCTCCTAAGGTCTCTCTCTCTCTCTCTCTCTTTTTTTTTTTTTTTGTTTTTCGAGACAGGGTTTCTCTGTGTAGCCCTGGCTGTCCTGGAACTCACTCTGTAGACCAGGCTAGCCTCGAACTCTCAAACTCAGAAATCCGCCTGCCTCTGCCTCCCAAGTGCTGGGATTAAAGGCATGCACCACCACCGCCCGGCCTTAATTTTCTATTAAGAGCCAATGTCCTTACAATTTTCAGTATTTGTAAAGACTACAAAATTACATTTCAGTCACTCTTGTAAAAAATTTACAAACTGATGGGTGACTCTTGAGGGACATGTAAAAAGAAAAAAAAAAATCGAGAACTCCAAAGTTCTTCTCTGATCTTAATGCAAATATCTACAGGCACATTAAAGGATATTAGGAAACAAAGGACAGGGCATCAATTTTTTATTTTTCTCTGTAGCAGCTCTGGCTGTCCTAGAAATTATTTTGTAGACCAGGCTGGCCTCTGAGATCTGCCTTGCTTCTGCCTTGGGTGCTGAGATTAAAGGTGTACACCTGGCCTCAAGGCACCAATTTATAAAGGAAGCCAAAAAGGGATGACTGCCTCAAAGTTGGGTGTGATAGCCCATGCCTTTAATCTCAGAACCTGGCTGAATAAAGCAGAAAACTTTATTACCAATAGGTTAATTGCTGGGGATGTAGCTAGTTTTACTGGGCACATGCATATATATGCCAAAGCTGTGCAGGTCACAAGGACTTTGTGTGAGCCTGTTCTCTTTTCCATTTTAACACGGGTTCCCAGTTCAGCTTCTCAGGCACCATTACCCACTCTGCCTTTGCGCCTGCTCTCAGCGACACTGCACAGGAATGTCTAAAAATAGGCTATTCCTTACTTATGCTGGTTTCTACTTTTAGAAACAAATTTACTAGGGTATTTAATATGCTTGGTTGCTTCGACATACTACTTGCTCAGTAAAAACACCAAGAGTCTAAGTGTGGAAATTATGTCACAGGCATGACACAGCTGATATACTCCCACACTGACATCAATGTGACAGAACATCACAAACTGGCAAGAATTCTTACATGTAAGATTAAAAAAAAAAAAAAACCCAATGTGAAGAATTACATGGCACTGAGAATGGATCAGAACTACTAAACAGTTGTATTTCAGAGAGCAGGAGTAGGAAGGGTGCTTAGGGTTAACCCTAAACTACATAGTATTAACTTGCTTTTATTATAATCCTAGGGTTGGCAGGTCCATGGAAGCCAACATAACAAAGCTAAATATAACATGCTAAAAAGCAGTAAGTACCAGACTATTTTGAGTGAACTAAAAATTAGGGGCATTGTGACAGCAGGTCAAGAGAAATGTTCTTTTGTTCGTGTGTTTAAGTCGAAGCACAACTGTGGACTCAGGTCTTTTCCATCTTTACATGGATTTGGGAACTAAACTCAGGCCACCACTCTTATGTGGCAATGCCTTTACCCAGCAGACAATCAGAACATAGACGACCCACAGAGAACTCTTCATAGCTCTGCAAATTAATAAAACATTGTGTTCTTCTATCATCAGCTTTTCCTTACTGAAGACAGTACTAAGCACAGAAAGAAAAGTCCAAACTGTCATCTTTCAGTCCTCCACATTCCCCTCTTTAATATGGCATTTTGTTCTATATACATTGATGAAAATTTCAAACAAACAAAAGGAACTTTAGTCAAAACTCCCCTTCCTCCTCCAGCTTTATTGGAATAGTTTAAAATTACATTTTCTATTTTCTAGGACTTCAGTTGCTTTTTCCATCTGACTTTTAAAAACTGATTACAGCAAATGAAACAC